GACAAAATTCACAGTTTTGTTTTGTTTTTTTATTTTATCATTCCTTGAATAAGATGATATATTTCAGTGTTTATTCTGGTAGAAATGGCTTACGAAATTAACACTTCGCACGAACAAATATTTAATATAAAAGGCTTCACGCTCAAAACATTTCATTCGGCAAGCCTGATATCCTGTAGTTTACAATGTCAGAGAAACCCACGATGCATTTCAACAAATTTCAGAAAAATTTCCAAAACTGAGGGAACCTGTGAGTTAAACGACAGAGGAGTCTTCTCTCTTGAGGAAGGAAAAGAACTGAAATATGACGAAGAAGCTATTTACACACAATTATACGAGAAGAAGGTGATAAAAATTTGTCTTATCTATTTTAATTATTGCTCCTTGCAATGAAGTGGGCATCTTCAAAAAGAGTGTACATATATCTGTTTACCTACCGGAACACATCTAAAAAAAAAGACGGAAAAGCTACGATCTTCGCTTTGTCACGAGAAGGAGAATAAGCTTACGGATGGATTCTCTGTTGGGCGGTAGTGGAATATTAGAACACGAAATCCTCCGACCTGAGATTTTATTTTATTCATGACATCTTTTTGGTAATGTTTATCTTTTCGACGTTAGAAGTAAAAAATTCAACATCTGTCTTAACTTAGTAATGTGTCTATCCATTGATCCTCGTCTAGTTATATTATGGTGCAATGTCGGGTTTTCATGATGGATGATTAGCGTCGTTACTGCGTATGTTGCCTTAAAAAATAAAATGGACCTTTTTCCAAATTTTCAGTATCTTTGGAGAAATGATACTTGCAAAGTCCTCCGAAGCACAATAATGTTTAGAATTACAATTGTGTTGAGTCTTCTCAAATAATTTTGTGGACTGAAAGAGGGTAACATTAATTTGAGACAAAAAATTGTAGTTTTTAGCTTAGGTTAAAAATTTATAGATGAGTTTCTATTTGATGATAAACCAGGATGACTAATTGATTTCCTGATAAGAAAAAAATGAATATTTTCATGTCTGAGCAGTGCAACTGTCAGGTTTTCAAGGAAGAATTTAAATTCGTCAGCTGCAAATGTAAGTAGGGCTGAGTACATAAAATATTCTTAAAATTAACGTCTAAGATCTTGCACTTACATCACTGAGGAGTTACTCGTCTCAGTCTCCTCTTGTCTTTGCGTCAAGAGGCTTCCTGTCAATACTTGCGGAGTCTTCTATCGTCATGACCCTCCCTGAACCATTTCTGGACCTTCATAGTCCTCGAATGTGGTTTAAAAAAATAAGATTACCCGGGAAAATACTGCGAGGTTTATTTCTGAAAAGAAAAAGAAAAGATGAAGAAAATAAGAAGCTCCCCAAGACGTGTAAGATTCGTATTTTCCCAAATAAAACTCATTCATAATTTCAAATGCAATCTGTGCTTACGCCAAAGCATTGCGAAACTTGAACGCGATAACCTTAAACATATCTAGGAATTTTACATGACAATCCCTATCCAAAAAAATCTGGATCCTCCTAAGGTGCCGCAGTATAATTATCGTCCTGGGTATGAGACGACCTCGACCATCACTCGAAGTTCAGAGTCTTTTAACATTCGGATAGTTCTTATCCGTTAAATTTTTTTCTAATTTGGATCTTTGAGACGAAATGGAAACTATAATCTGCACTGATTTTGATATTTCTGTTCAAACGTTGAAAACATCCGCAGTCATTAGTAGTAAACTTGTCAATATGTGTGATTGAGTTTCTCTGTCCAAAATGCAGGTGAAGAATCACCAAAAGGCCCAGTTCCCTTAGGTATGGAAAGTGGAGTTATTACTGACTCGCAGATTAGTGCATCTTCCGTGTATGATAATACACATGGCCCACAGAATGGTAGATTACATTTCAAGGGGGCCAAAGCCTCGTTGGCGTTTGTATCTGCTGGCTGGGCAGCTGGTCTGCTAAACACCAACCAATGGCTGCAAGTGAATCTTCGGAATACCGCCAGGGTAATAGGCATAGCGACGCAGGGGAGACATGATTACGATCAGTGGGTTACTAAATAAAAGCTACAATATGGCGATGATGGACAAACTTACAGTATCTACAGGCGAAACGGAGACACATCAGACACGGTATAAATAAGAATTACTTTTTGAGCAAGATGTTTTTTTCCTTCTATTCTTGCTGTGAGGGTGAACCAAAAAAAAATTAAGAGTCCCCAAGAGTAAAAGAATCTCAGTCCTTCGAATTCTTTGCTTCAATGCAACAACACTTCGCCACAGTGATCTTGATAGAGGTGGGGCAGAGGGAAAACTCAGGGCAATGGACTGATTTTAATTAAAGAGTAGTGCCCAGAGACTAAAAGGAACCCTGGTCTAAGGCCAGTTGGCCTCACGTTTTATAATGGTAATTGGACCGAGTAGAGTTTAATATGGTCGCTATTTATACGAGTGATTAACAAAATCAGACGATCGCGAAGCAGGAGTCTGATTTGTCAATTACGAGTATGATTACCAG